CCCCGGGACCGCCCCGGCCGGGGGGGCTCAGCATGGCGCGGCGCGGTCACAGCCCGGCCCAGCCTGCCCCTCCCCATGCAACGTCCAGGCAGCGGATTGCATTTCCCTTCCCTCTCTAAAGCACCTTCGCTCAGAAAAAGGAGCAGGACGACGTTTAACTCCCGAATTGATCTTCTCCTGAAAATCTCTGGGCCCTCATGCCCATCCCCGGCACTGGGAGGTGGGAGAAGGCCGGCAGAGACCCAGACAGAAATCACTGCGTCGCGATTTTAGTGATTGCGCGAGGTTTAAGGAAACCAGGTGCTGGCACACAGCCAGGCTCTGCCAACCATCTGGCTTCTCGCCATGAGAAACGGTGCCTGTGGCTGGGCTCATCTCTTGTACCCTGGAACGAAATCTCTCATGTTCTGCACCCAAACAGATGCTGGTGCTCTGAGGGGTCAGGAGATGCGGGGGCCGCACCTTGTTCCCTCTCCCCCGTTTTGCCATCAGGCTGGGACAACTCTGGGGCAGTAAAAGTGTGAGGAGGGAAGGATCCACACCCCCCCTGCGACTTAATTTGCACCTCCTGGGGTCTAAATCAGGAGACACATCTGCACTGGAAACAAGCCGAATTCCTCAAGTGGAGACACAACTTCGCTGGTCAGGGGAAATGGGGATTTAAGGTGGTTTGAGGCATCAAAACCTTCTGACTTCTGCCCCTGCTCCTGGGTAGCTCCAGGGCCCTGATGCTGAGCTCAGGATTGGCCTCGGGCTGGGAGCTCTGCAGTAACTATGCTGCCACAGTTGGTCTCTCTGTGTCCAATGGCCCAGGTGGTAATTGGGGAGAATAACGAAGGTGAGTCAAAGCTCTCTGCCGAGGAATCGTGGTCCAGGCTGCAGCAAGCTGGACCCTGCAAAACTGAGGAGACGCCAAAGAAAAGAAAACCTTTGCAAAGTGGAGGAGATTGTTGAGGTAATGGAGACAGGTTCCACTTAAACTTACCATGAACCCGGCTTGTCATGCCGTACCTTACACGCCTAGGCGGCTGTTAAAAGCTGATCCTCCTTGACTGAACACGGCGGAGCTGACCGCGGCCTGACTCGCTTCCCTCTCGCGTCCCTGGGCCTCCTTTCGGCAACAGCGGCCGCACAGCCGGGCTGCTGCTCCCATCCATAATGCACAGCCCGGCCCGCACGAAACTTTCCACAAAGAGCCAGGGCTCTGGTTGCAGGATTTTAAATTAACTATTAATAGGGCTGATACCGTATCCCTTTGAGAACAATGGCGCGCGGCAGACGGCGGCGCAGGGCACGTATCGCGTTACTTACCACAGCATTTATTGGAACATGTGTAAGCGTCACAGCATGGGGCAACTCCCGGAGGTCGCTGGGAGATGATCTGTGTGGAGGAAAGGAGAGGCAGCCAGGCTGGGGGGGGCAATTTAGCTCTCTGTTAAGCTGATACTTGTGCAGCGAGGCTGGTAATGGTGTCCCCGAGTTAAGGATGAAGTGCCTGCGTGCACTGGGCTTGGGCATAACAGGATTGTTGGGGTAGAGGCATGGCCGAGGTGATGGAAGCTGCTGGTGCCTTCTTTAAAAAAACCCACCAAACTGAACCAAACAAAACCAAACGCAGCTCAGCTGAACCCAACCAACCCAGTCCAGCTGAACCAGACTCAACCCAACCCAACAAACCTAGCCCAACTGAACCCAACCCAACTGAATCCAACCAACCCAATCCAGATGAAACCAGACTCAAGCCAACCCAGTCCAACAACCCCAGCTCAACCTAATCCAATCCAATCAACCCAATCCACTGAACCAGACCTGATCCAACCCGGCCCAACTCAACCCAATCCAGCCTAACCCAACCAACTCAGCCCTGCTGAACCCAACCCAATCCAACCCAACCTAACCCAATGAACTCAGCCCAACTGGACCCAACTCAATCTAATTTAACCTAACCAATCCAATCCAGCTGAACAAACCACAACCCAACTCAGCTGAGCTGAACCCAATCCAGCCCAACTGAACCCAACCAAGCCCAACACAATTTAACCCAATCAACCCGATCCATCTGAACTAGACCTTACTCAACCTGGCCCAACTGAACTCAACCCAGTCCAGCCCAACACAAACCAACCCAAACAAAGCAGAGCCGGGTGAGCCCAGCCTGGTGCCAGGCCACTGGAGCAGGGAAGGCCAGGGGAGGCCGTGCAGCCTCCGGCCGGCCAGCGGGCAGCACCGGGGAAGTGGCGTCGGCCTCACACCCTGCCAGGCTCGTGTACCGGCCGCGAACCGGAACGTTCGTGCGCCGCCGCCGGTTTCCGGGGGGGATAATGGACAAAGGGGGCGGAGC